AGGTGGCTGAATTTTACGGAGACTTGCCACGGTCTCCAACCCTCCTCCTTTCTCATCCGGGCTTGGGACTCGGCCATGGCGGAGTTTTTCTCGTTCCTCATTTTGTAAAATCTGCGACATTTGCGTTGAATTGGCGATTTTCTGTATATTTGACTTTTCGCATAGATGCCGACATATGGGAAGCTTGTGGAATAAGACATAGAATGTAAATCATGACATATAAATGACTGATGGAGTTTAATTAGAAAACTGACTGCAAGCTTTTTTTACAGTTTCTTAGAAACGTATATTTTAGATATTTTATTCATGCCATATTTAAATAACCAACATTTTATCTCATCCGTTTCCGATTGTAATTACTTGGTTTTAGTACCTTTCTTCCCGGAAATGTCGAAACAATTTAACGATTTTTTAAATAGAGGCTGAGATTGTAAGGTATATTTCTTTTCTGAGAAGCCTGTTGTGTTGACGCAGAAACCTGAGAAGTCTATCCGCAGAGAACTTGCATGATACCCTAACAAAACGCAGCCATTAATAAATGATACGCGTGATGTAACACCCATTGACATTTTCACAGCATGATGCCTTGTTAGTATTTTCCTATTAGGTAAGGAACAAAATGCTCCACTATTCAAGTGAAACACAAACTCACTTCGGCAGGTCTTCTAGAATTATTATATTTTTTTCTTGCGTTGACGATATCTGTTTGGTCAAAAGGGCAGATTTATGTAAAATGAAGAACAAGGTATTTTTTTGCTGTTAACCAATGAATCAGAAGGCGCATTGTCATCCTCTCATGAAATTGCGATATTGCATGAGTTTGCACTTATTTACTTTTTCCATGAGTGCCGACTACAGCGCAATTGTTGTTCATTGACTTCACAGTATGTTTAGGCCAGATATCATCCGAGTGATCTGCTTTGTCCTGAATCGTACAAATGGTTCCCCATTGAAGAATGTGTTCCAAAGCTCGACAAGAACAAATACTCTCGCTTTGCACCCGAAAGTGATGACGGTGGTATATTGTTTGTTTTCGTATGATTTTTTCTTTGGTCAGTTTAATTTGCTATGTGTCCAATGGTTGTTATATCGCAATGGTAGGTTATTTGGGATTGGCTAGATAATAGGTGGATTCTGAAATGTTGCGTTAGGTTAGAGACTAGCACTCCTGTCTATACAGTTTAATTAATGATCATCCTTCTGTTATCATCACCTGGATTCTCTTATGTATGATATGTTTGAATGATAACGGCAGAGACAGTTTGATTATTCGAGTCATTAACTGAGAAGACTTGTGGACTCAAGACGATTGTAAAAAAGTTTTGCTACCTGAAATGTAACAGCGTTTGTGTAACACGTTATTTTAGATCCTTTTGAACAAGAGGTAAATCTTGGTGAAGTCATGGTATTGTATCAACGTCACGCACTCGCCTACCCGCTGTACTGTTCTTTAAAACGTTCTACCAGTGATGAGGACCAAGTAAAAGAATACGCAACCTTACTTGGCCAGAACTGTTCTTCTCGTATACTACTCTATCGTGAGTAACGTTTACCTAGTTGCATGCGCTGGCTTCACTGTTATTATCATTTTTGTTTACCTATATTCAACAAATAAAATTTTGTGCATTGTTGTGATCTTGTGTTGACTAAAAAGGAGCATTTTCTGTGTATGTTCCTTGTTGTTAAATGCAACGCGTTTATGATTGTTTCAGCTGTTTGTTACTAGTAAAGAACAGGATGAGACGCAGTTCCGAGCTGACGCTGGGCAGTGGACCCACGTTTTTCGCAAAAACCCTGAACCCTTATTACTTGTCACGGCCTACCGACACGTTACTGAAAGTTGGCGTCCAGCTGAGTCAAGATCTTTCAAGTTTTGTTCATATCGACACAAGCGACAAATTGCCACTGCTAATTGAGCTGAATCAGGTGAGAGTTTGTCTTGTATAACATAAAAATTCTATGATGAATTATATTTGTTTTTTTTCCATAGAAAGAACCGTTGCGTAGCATTATCAAAGAGCTTTGTGCCAGGTACGACTATTGCTAGGCGATCGTCGCCGATGATGTAATGACTCAGGCATAACCTATTGTTTAGATGGGAACTAAAGCAACCAGAGTGTTTCGCATTGCAATTTACGTTGCGATCTCATCTTTACGTCAATGAAGAGGTCTGCGTCTGAGCAGTACTAGTCACATCAGTGAAACTCATAAAAATTTTTTTATTCCCTCAAGTCGAAATCGTTGAAATTTTCTGGGTTTCTTTATGACCGCAGACTTTTTCGAAATTGGATTTGTAAATTTAGTTTCTTCAGGTAGAGACATGAAAATAAGTAAGAAAATTTTAATTCCAGGCCGATTTTCAGAAGATTCTACATTGTCCATCAGCAAGGTCACAGAAGAGGAGGTTTAGCTTTTTGCCCTTTAATAAGTTCCAGTAGTGGAGAGCACTCAACAGCTTGGTACGGTATTGCTTGATAGGGCGACTACGGGATAGTTTAGCAACTGTGCTATTGCCATAGCCGTGAAAACCTGTCATAGATCTCGAAACGCTGGACTATTGAGGCTTTGGTAACTGTGGTTCATAGTGCTGCTCCATATGCATTTAGGAAAGATCTGTCGCGAAGTAGGTTCTGACTACAAATTCTCACTGGAAAATTTGGAGCCGTCTTCATAATTGAACCCTGAAGAAAGCTGAGAGAAATATTTTCACCGTGCTTTTTACCGTCTGAATAATGAATGACGGCGTATAATAAGATGTTAGGCAGATCTATCAGAACTTCAGTTCGGTATTGATGATGATAGAAGAAATAAAATTCTTATGGATTTGGATGCTAAATTTCTGAATAATCCAGCCTTCCTCTGAATTTCTGCATGATATCCCCATCCCTCTTAACCGTGAACATGTGTGAAAATAAAGCAGCCTAACTGTATGCAGACTGTTCGTATTCGACTATTTTCGAAAATCACATGAACATAGCTATTCAAGAACTACTTTATTTTTATGCTCAGTTCTTTGCCGTCATTCAGGACTCAGAACCTCTTACTGATAGCTGAACTGTAAAACATTGTGTCCAAGATATTCTCCACGGTGTGTGTTTCTGTGTTAATCACTTTGAGTCATGTACATAAGGAGGACGTCTCTGGTTTAGGTTCTCCGTCGTATTCGCAACTTTCTAGCGCTTGCTATAAGGCACCGCTCACTGCATCGTACAAAGCAACATTCCTCTTGAAAACAGATCTGTTTCTGCGCTGTTACCCACCTTACATGCAGGGCTTCCTCGTCGATGTCTGCCGTGTTTTAGTTCTCACCCTAGGCATTAATGGGCTATAGTAAATTTAAAAGAGTAGTAGAGTAGCAGTAGAGTAAATTTTTTTATGTTCAATTAGTTTATCTAGCAGGGCAACTCTCCT